TACGCGGGCCTCTCACTGTTGTGGCCTCTCCCGTTGCGGAGCACAGGCTCCGGACGCACAGGCTCAGCGGCCATGGCTCACGGGCCCAGCCGCTCCGCGGCATGTGTGATCTTCCTGGACCGGGGCATCAACCCGCGTCCCCTGCATCGGCAGGCGGACTCTCAACCACTGCGCCACCAGGGAAGCCCCCACCAATGATATTTTAGCAGAACAGTGATAAGCAGAGGCAGCTTGGCCAAACTATAAAGTGGGGCTTCGGAAGACTTAAGTATGTGAGCACTGGAAGGGTAAGGGGAGATCCTCCACCCCAACCCATTGGCCAAGCAGTGGGGAAGCAGACACAAGGGGAGGGTTGGTGCCAGGGTCCCGGAAAGGAAATGCCCCCTTGCAGTGAAGGGGCCCACTGAGTCATTAGGGAGATGAAATGGCAGGTAAATAAGGCCTACAAATAAGACCATGAAACATAAGCTCTTTTTTCTTTAACCACATAATGGGCAAAACCGATGTCCTTGCCGCACCCTCGATGCTCATCCATTTTTCTGGGTCAGAGTTGGCTATGAGGTTTGCTCAGAAATGGAATAAGGGTCAAGGCTGTCTGCTGGGACATTTCTTGGTACTAGGAAGCAGTGTTTTCACATGTTTACTGGGCTTTTTAGACATGACTCAACAGAGCCATGTAAAGATGCCCACCTGGGTCAAAAGTGATCTGTTCTGCTTTCAGCCAGAGATGTCCCTTCCAAATGAAGGATCATGGTACACGTGGTTGGAATGGGCCCCAGCCCTATTTACCTCTTTTCTGCCTTCTGCGTGGGACACGTTGTCCTCCCTGTTCCACCCCTCAGAAGATCTGACACCTAAGAAGCTTTCAAACTGTGCAGAGATTCTGCTGGTGGAACCGACAGAAAAGGGCGTTCAACCCTTCTCCCTCAGTGTGAGTTCTCCCACGGTGCAGGGCAAGGACCAATCACAGAAGGACCAACAGGAAGGCCAGGGTCTTAGAACAGTGGTTCTCATACTTGAGCTGCATCAGAATCACCTAGAGGGCAATTAGAACACAGATTGAGGGGCCCACCCCCAGAGTTTCTGATTCTGTAGGTCTGAGAATTTCATTTCTAACAAATTCCCCGGGGATGCTCACACTGCTGATCTGAGCACCTCACTTTGAAAACCACCACTTTAGAAGATAGTCTCAAACTTTGGGTATTGTCTTTCAAAAAAAAAAAAAAGAGAGAGGCAGGGAGATGGGCCTGGTGTTGCTAGGCAACTGGTAGCAGAAGGGGAATGGGATGGGGACCAGGGACTGAGAAGGACAGGTGGTACAGGGTGACCTCAGACTTGACAGAAGGCTGTCACTAACTTTGGTTTATTGGCCTCTCTGTAGAGACATAAATAGACATCATCCCCTGTTTACCTAAAGCGTTGTCCGCTAACAAGACAGCTGCCGCCACCCAGCAGGCCTACTTGAAGGCCTGGCAGCTGCCTGAGGAAAGCCTGTCTCCCAGCCGGCCCTTCTGCTCCTTGCCCCAGAGAGTTTTGAGCTTGCGATAGTACACCTTGCAGCTGAAACCCTCCTTGAAGCCCCCCTTGATGTGGCTCTTGAGGGAGTGCAGCGTTGGGTACATACGGCAGCAGGCCGCACACTTGTAGCCGTTCTGCTGGGCTGGGTACCACTTGGAGGCCATTAGGATGTCCTGGGTTGTGATGTAGTCTGTGGAATACAGGCCGTGCCTGGATTTCTTGGTGGCCTCTTGGGGGCAGGTGTTCTCTGGGGAGGAGGAGGACGAGCAGATGCTCTCAGCCATGTCCTCTGGGAGGCAGTTGTCCCCCCTGCCCTCGTCCCGCTGCACCTCTGGGAAGCTGTATGTCTCCAGGTGGCTCTCTCTGTCCTTGCATACAAAGTAGCTGTAAGGGGAGAACCAGGGCCGGTAGATGGTGCAGTTCCACCTCAGCTTCTCTCTGTTTGGGGGGTCCCCCAAGATGCAGCCTGCAGAGGAAAGGGCTGGGTCTGAGCCTCGAGCCAGGCAGGGAGCAGTGAGGCCTGGGGTGGCTGGAGGCCGGGCGGAGAAGCAGAAAGGCAAGAAGGCAGGTAGTCAGGCAGGACCTCAGGTTACCTCTGCCCCTCCTGGAGTGCAGTTCTGAGAGCAGGCAGAGGATGGGGTGGGGAGAGCAGGCTAAGGCCTTCCTTCCTGCTGTCCAGAGAAAAGCCGTTTGATCTCGAGGTAGAGACTCCCCTTGCAATGACACTAAGCCTTGGCATTTGTCAGGTGCATCCCTCCCTGCAGACACCTTTCCTCTGCCTCCTCTGAGGATAGACACAGGTGGCTCAGCAGGCAGCCAGACCTCTGGCCTCCTAGAGCCCCTCTTTCTACCACCACTGGTTGTGGCCGTTTCTCCAGCCTCACTGTCTGCCTGCAGCAGCCCAGTCAGGCAGAAAGTGCTGTTCTCCATCAGCCTGAGAGACAGGAGAAGAGGAGAGGACTTTACAGACCTGCAGGTCTCTGCTAAAGGCAGCACCGGGCAGGAGACTGCAGCGGGGGCAGGCAGCGCGCGGCGATCCCACACACAGGCACCCTGCCCTTAGGGGAGCAGCCCCTGTTCCCCCAGCTTCTCACACGTGCCCGCCTGAGTCAGAGAGGGCCTCACCTGGTGAGAGCACCGTGTTGTGCACCCCATGCCGGAGAGCGCTGCTTTGGTACTGGGGTAGCAGGGCCTGAGCTGGGCTGGACGCCTCAGTAGGAGACACAGTCTTCGCAATGCCTGGTTTACAGAGGAAACACTCTGGTGAGCTGAGCGAGGTTGGGTGTCCTCTTGTTGGGACCCCTCCCCCGCCCCGAGACATACCTAGAGGTTCAACCTTGGTGCTTTAAGGCACTGCAAAACTGAAGCAAAACAATGACCTTTGTGGCATCCACATAGGCAGAGCTATTCTGGATGACCTCCTGGGGAATTCCAAATGGGGTGCTGGTTTCATTAAGACCCTGGAAAAGTCCTCTCCAAAGAAGAATATAAGATGTGGACCAGATGACAGCTTTCTGCCTGGCCCTCCCCTCTCTTGAGTGTGTGTGTGTGTGTGTGTGTAGTTTTTTTTGCAGCCTTTGGGTCCCTGGAGGGCCCAGAGGAGGGAGTCTGGTCGAGGACCGAGTAGCTATGTTACAAGATCCCTTTGAGGACGAGAAGCCCGTTTCTCCAATTAAAACGCCTCCCACCCACAGCCAGAGAGTGTTCAGGTGGACCCCAGCTGCCTGATGGTTGCTAATACTTGGATTAAGAAGCTGGCTTGCCTCAAATCGCAGAGCAGTAGCTGTGCTCACTTTGGGAAACAGATGGATACAGATGTCCTGTGTCTAGACAAATGGATACTCAGGAGAACCACTTCACAGAACAGCACTTCTCAAACTTTAATGTGCATAGAATCACCTGGAGATCTTCTTAAAAATGCAGATTCTGATTCAGCGGGTCTGAGGTAGGGCCTGGGATTCTGCCTTTTTCTGACAAGCTCCCAGGTGATGGTGATGTTGCAGGTCCATGGACCATGCTTTGAATAGCAAGTCCTCAGCACATTCAACTTTATTCCATGATAGGCTCATCAGTTACCCCCCACTTAGGTTCCTTCTGATGGATTGATAAGTCTAGATCTTCCCCAGCTTGTCAAAACAGGGCTGAAACTAGTACATACTCCTTACTTAGACAAACTGTCAATCAGAGAGTTCATGCAGATTCAGAGGGGGAAAAAAAGCCTGATAACAAATGTTTCCCCCATCCTTCCCTTGCAAGAAATGGATAAACAGCAGGAACTACTTACCATGTAGGCAACATTTTGAAAAATTATTTTCTCCCCATGTGTAATTTGACTTTCTCACTAAATCGTGGTCCTGTAACATGATCTGGTACAGTACTCAATTACAGGCCTCAGAAAACCACATTTTTGTGGCCCTAGTGGCACGAGAGTTTACCTGGCAAGCTGGTGGCACGTGAGGACGTGATATCAGGAAAAGTGCTCAGAGCAGAGGAAGAGATTCGAGGTCCAGAAATGCTGAGGAGTGAGAAGTTCTCCATATTCTGACTACTGAAGTGTATGGAGGTAACACACGCCTGCCCCCAAGAGGCTGGTTGGGTTGTCCAGACAATTAACATTCTGAGCTCAGCTGACATCACAAAAAGGCCACATGATTCTACTCGCCGCCAGCGAGGTTATCCCTCTCAAAGATGGATGGGGTCTGTAGCAAGCAAGATAAAAAAATTGTAAAGATTTTTTTCACTTGTCGTTCTTCCGTGGCCTGTCTTGATTGGGGATGCCCAGAGAAAGGGAGGAATGTAGTAGAGACCTGATAGCGATGTTGTCTATTCGCCCCCTTTTCTTTAGTGTCCCTTTTCCATGTCATTGCTGTCACCACCCCCAGCTCTGGGATCCTCTGTCCTCTCTTAATGACCTCTTTGCTTTTTTCATCTGCCTAACCTCTGTCACCAGATGTTTTTGTTTTACCTTAGTTTCTGTTTTTTTTGGTTTGGGGTATATTTTTTACATTTCTCTTTGGAAATAATTTCAAACTTATAAAAAGCTGCAAAAATAAAATTTGTACAGAGAACATCCATGTACCCTGTATCTAGATTTCCCTATTGTTAACATTTTACTCCATTTGTCTTATCAATTCCCTCCCTCCCTCTCTGCCTCTATGTGTGTATACATTTTTTTTTCCGAGGTATTTGAAGGTAAATTACAAACATAATGTCCCTTTGTGCCTAAATACTTCAATATGTACGTCCTAAGAATAGGGACCAAATACTGTTTTAAATGGTGCTGTTTTTAGCAAATGACTAAAACATAAATGGGTGGCTTACTCAGCACCACTTTGCTCATTATAAGCAATTTGGTAGTAAGGCTATGTACTCAGAGTGGCAAGGTAGCCTCTTCCCTTTGCTTCACTTTTGTCGTGTAACAACCTGGCCAGCCTGCTAGACGGTTGAAAGATGAGCTTGAAGGTGCCCCATTCTAGATCATCATGACTAGATGCATACAGGGCTTTAGATCTAAAGGTGGGTATGTTTGTGCTGGGTGGGAAAGGTCTGGCCCAGCCCGTAATCAGCAGTGGGCTCCCCTCGCAGTGTGTGAAGCAAGTGTGAGTTAGCATGTGCCTATGAGATTCCAGAGTTGTCTTCCTGTCCGTGTTTATTCACAGTACTTCAACATTTGCAGGACAGTGCGGAGAATGAGATCTCACGTACCTCCTTCATAGCCTGGTTTGGAGCGTTAGAACGTGTTAGGATGTAAATTGACGCCATGTACCTTGGCAACTTTGAGGGTATTGGCAGTTTCACTTGGCCGTCATGGTGTAGAGAAGGATTGTGGGTCTGGGAGTCAGCCTATGTGAGTTCTAACCCCTGCTCTGCCGTTACCTCCCTGTGCGGTATTAGGCAGACCTCTCTGCCACCTGCTTTTCCCATTTTGTTAATTTAGACGGTTGGAGTGGATGAATGAACATCTTTCTGGTCTAAAATCTAGGGATTCACATGTTGGAAACGAGACAGCAAAAAAATGAGTGATGCACACAGGATCCAGAAGACTTAGAATTTCATCTTGCCTTGGCCCATTCCATTCCTCCCACTGCCAGCTAGGAACTTCAGATATACTTCATGTAAAGGGGCCTCAAGATATTGGGGGAAATACAGGAGGCTGCATCAGCACCTGTTTGTAGAATTTTTTAAATACGGCTCTGTTTTGGTTTATTAAAAAGCATATGGGAACCTGGTCGTCCAGGTCTGTTACACTCCTCATAGCAGGACCCCCGTCTTGCATGCTTTATCCTCTTGGTGGGCTGTTGCTGGTGACCCAGACGGGAGGTGACACTCCCATAGTGGTCGGTCACTACATAAAATGTGTCTCTCTCTCGTTTGTTTCCCGCCTGCTTTCCGAGCCCCTTTCTCGGACAGGTAAGATACTGTCTTTCTTTTGGATGACTTCGGCCCCAGATGCTCCCCTCTGCTTGGCTATGTGCATGCTGGGGGGTGCTGTTAGGAGGGCCACCTGGTTGGGATCCAGTCACCTTCCTTTGTGCCGTCACCATTATTTTCTGAACCACCAAGCCTCCCGTCCTGACAGAGTGTGGGGTCATTAGTGCCTCCAGCCGGAAAGGGGCTCACTGCACATCCCTCAGATGTAAAGATGAAGGGAGCCCCAGCCAGAGTGCTGCTTTGGAGAGGACAGTTTTTCTGGCCTGACCTCAAGAGCCCCCGTGAACCG